GGGGGCAAATTACACAAAATTTCAATTGTAGGCTTTGTTTGATTCCCATTTCTTTCAAAATACATTTTTTTTTCTCTTCTTTTCAAATACACATTTTTTATTAAATTAATATTACACATAAATAAAAAAAAATTCTTATTTTCAATCTCGCATTTTCCATCAATTTACCATTTTAAAATATATTTTTTTTTCTTCATAAAAATGGGGCTCAAACACCCTCGTAGTGCCAAATATTGAAAATTACAAGAACCTTTTTGCAAGCACCAGCATTACCACGATTTTACTTTACACCAAAATAATAAGAATAATAAGAACTCTTCTAGTCAATTTTTTTGTCCAAATAAAATTTGTCCCTAGCCAAAAATTTTATTTAATATGACCATTTAGCTATGTAAAATGACATCAAAATGGTTTCTACCCATAGCAAGTTCTATCGATCATGTTGTATGTACATTTTTTTTGGCCTTCATGGTTGATATTATGCCACATGACGACACATGATTGGATAGTTTTAAAAATGAAAATACAGTTTCTCGTCCAACACTTTTTGAAATCTAATGAATTGTACACAAAGATGTCAACCATGAAATATATACTTAGCATTATTAAAGTTCTAAATATGTTATTTATATCAAAATAGAGTTCCATGTTTTTTTTAGCATATGTTTGGTTTCCATTTAAAAAAATAAAAATAAAATCCATTTTTTTAAAGTTCATTTTCAACCATACATTCTTCCATAAAATAATTTTACACAGAAACCGAAATTTTTTTCTTCATTTTTAATTACACATTCTTCAAAAAAGTCACTATTTCAAAAAAAGTTTTCCTACTTAAATGGGGCTAAAAAAAAGTCACTATTTTTAAAAATCATTTTTTTTTTCAAAAAAACTCTTTTTAATTTTTGTCAAACAAGGGTTTAGTTGTAATTTTTGTGACTTTGATGGTCAAATGAAAATTTGACTTAGGAGATAAGTGTGGCTACGATCCTAAACCTTTTAATTTTTGTAGATTTTACCCTAATATTTCATTTGTTGCATTCATGGTCCCAAACATTCATTTCTATGCGACGAAAAGACGTCTAGACGATTTTCATCTAGAGATCCTTTAGTTGATCTAGAAAAATGACTTCAACCATAATTTGAACAATTTGAAAAATAGAAAAATATAACTTCTGATTTTCTATAGAAAATAAAAAGAAAAGAAATAAAAAAAAATTGTTTTCTTCCCAAACCGCATAGCCCCGCCTCGACTATCAACGACTGCCACCGAGATCGTATATTGTGGCCACAAATTTATCTATATGTACAATGTCAGATCTAACAGGGCTTTCCACAAGTTCTTCACATGAGTTGGGTCCCGCACCTCATTAAAAATTGCCCCGAAAATTCCCAACCCCCATGTTTGCATGTATTCGGTAAGGGTTCTGCTAGTTCCCCAGCACGGGCCACCACCACAAAAAATTGCCCATTTACCTATCTTTTAATGTCTCTTAAATTTTGAAATCTCTCCCTAACCCTCAAAAATCACTTTTGGGAAATCTTGAGAATATGCCAAAAATTGCGACCACCATTTTTGTGCTATCCACAATTGATTGTTGAAGCAATGGGTGTGGCTTGAGAAGAAAAATAGAGAAAATACAAGATGATTTGTAAGTGATGCCTAAGTTTTTTTTTTATTGAAAGGGAACGTGAACACAAGGCTATACAAGATTTCATATTTAAACACAACAAGGCGACAGAAATTGCATAAAATCTGCAAGATGTCACGCCTTTCATATCTTCAATTTAATGGGGTCTAGATTCCATACAATCGGTTTTCATTACTGGACTTTCCTTGCATGTTGATTTGCTATCATCATTGCTGGACTTTCCTTGCTAGGTAAATGGATTTCCTTATTGCTGAGATGAATCATTGTTGGATTTTCCTTCCACTAAGATTTTCCCTTTCTGAGATGACTCATTGCTAGACTTTCCTTGCTACTGAGATGAGTGGTGCCAATACCCTCCCGCAAACTGTGCTGGGGTTGAAGGTAGAGTTTGGTACGAAAGTGACTGAGTGCTGCCTTAGACATTAGTTTAGTGAAGAGATCTGCAACTTGGTCACTAGTGGAGATATGTCGAGTGACTAGTAGTCCTAGTGCAACTTGTTCTTGCACAAAATGGTAGTCAAGCTCGATGTGTTTGCTACGGGGCATGGAACATAGGATTAATTGTCATATGAAGAGCACCGATGTTGTCACACAGTAGAGTATTGGAGGGGAGACTGTTGGAATATGGAGGTCTCTTAGAATAAATGTCATCCATGTGAGTTTTGCTGCTGCATTGGCCATGGCGCAGTACTCAGCTTTGGTACTGGAGCGTGAAATGGTATGTTGTTTCTTAGCACACCACGATATGAGATTACCTTCAAGGAATGTGCAATAGCTTGTGGTGGAACGTCTAGTTGTAGGACAACCTATCCAATCTGCATCCGAAAAAGCACACAGATCAAGTGTAGTTTGGGAATTAAAATGCAAACCCATGTCAATGGTTCCTTTAACATAATGAAGTATATGATGAATTATCTTTAAATGGGCCATAGTTGGGCCATGCATGAACTGAGAAACATAGTTGACACTGTCGTGTGAGTGTGACGTACTATAGGGAACCAACAAGTCCTCAAAAATAACTCTAGTTTTCTAGAAGGGTGTTACTAGAGCTGGCTTTGGTCTTTGCTTCTAGTGGCGTACTCATTTGCTTGCAATCTACCATGTTAGACCATTCAAAAATGGTAAGGGCATAGTGTGACTAAGACAAGTGAATGCCATTGGTTGTCTGTGAGATTTCTATCCCAAGAAAGCGATGGAGTGGTCCTAAATCTTTCATGGCAAATTCACGACTTAGTAGTTGAATGAAGGTCGTAAGAAGCTCGAAGTTGAAGTCGGTGAGAAGTATATCATCTACATAGAGAAGAAGAACTAGTGAGCCAACATCAACATGGAAAACAAATAATGAAGGATCTACAAAAAAAGAAGAAAAAAAGCACTGAAATGATCAAACCAAGCACGTCCAAGCACGTGGTGCTTGTTTGAGACCATAGAGAGATCTCTGGAGTTTGCAAACATGTGTTGGATATTGAGGATCTGTCATTCCCAGTGGTTGTTCCATATAAATATCTTCAAAAATTAATGCATGTAAGAAAGCATTTTTCACGTCAAGTTGACGATAGACCAGTCCTGAACAAGAGCTATGTTGGTAATCATATGAATGGTTCCTGGTTTCACAACTAGAGAATAGGTTTCGGTATAGTCAATCCCATCGATTTGATGGTATCCCTTTGCCACAAGTCGAGCCTTTTGGCGATCTAGAGAACCATTGGGTTGGAGCTTTGGTTTGAAGACCCATTTGGAGCCAATAACATGCATGTCAGGTGTGTGAGGGATGAGTTTCCAGGTTTAGTTTTGATGGAGAGCCTGAAATTCTTCAACCATTGCATTTCTCCAGCCAGGATGTGCCAAGGTTATTATGATATTTGATGGTTCATGAGGAATAGTCATTGATGATGTGACAGTTAAGGCATACTTGGGATTGGGTTTAACAATACTGAGTTTGGACCGAGTGACAATGGAGTGAGAGATTGGTACTTGCAGAGGTTGAGTGGGATGAGGAGGCTCGATTTTGAGTTGTTTCGAATATGAATGCTGTGATGGTTAGGTATGGTCGAGAGAATGAATAGGATCAGGTTCAAGTTCAGGCTGTTGTGTTTGAGGCAATTGAGGAGGCTCGTCTTCAAGTTGTTCCGACTATGTATGCTGTGATGGTTAGGTATGTTCAAGAGAAGGAATATGTTCAGATTCAAGTTCAGGCTGTTGTGTTTGAGGCAGTTCAAGCTCAGATTCAGATTGTGATGATTGAGGCTCAAGAGAAGATGATGAATCTACAAGGCTTGTTGGGAAAGAAGCAGGTACTACAGGCAAGGATGGTAGTGAGGAAAAAGATGACTGGGAAACATCCTTTGCATGGTGGGAGTCAATCTGTGACAGCCAGGAGTCAAATATACTAATGACATGTAGTGCAAGAGTGATGTTTGGTGAGTGGACATGTTTATATGGGAAGACTATTTTATCAAACACAACATGCCGAGATATAAGGAATTTTTTTTGTAGGAGGATGAAAGCATTTATAACCCTTATGTTTATCACTATAACCTACAAAGACACAAATAACAAATTTGGGATCAAATTTATGGCGTCGTGTGTCCCATGTGTATGGAAAGCATTTTGATCCAAAAACACAAAGAGAAGAGTAAATCGGATGAGTTCTATGTAATCCAAAAAAGGGAGTCTCAAATTTAATTCTTGATGAAGGGAGACGATTAAGAAGATAAACAGCAATTTGAAAGGCATTGACCCTCAAAAAAAGAGGAGCACCACAATGAAATAGCATAGTCATACCCAATTCTCGTATAATTCTATGGTGCCTTTCAACCATACCTGTTTGTTCTGGTGCATATGAGCAAGATACATGATGCAATGTCCCTATTGATAGGAAATGTGAGGATAGTTTTGAGTTTATGAATTTACCACCTCCGAGTGAAATTTTTTTATCTGCTTGTTGAATTGCTTTGCAACATACTGTTCAAAGGCTAAATATGCAGTAACAAAATTGGATTTATGTTTTAAGGGAATAATTCATGTGTATTTAGAAAAGTCATCTACCAAACAAGCATAATATCTGAACTTTTGAATAGATAAAATTGGGGCAGGTCCCCATATGTCACAATGAATTTTATCAAAAATACTAGAACTCAAATGCTCAGAACTAGAGAAAGGTAATCTATTGAGTTTTCCCAATTGACAACTATCACACACATGTTTAGATTTTATGGCTCTTGCGATATCATTTAGTCCTTTATTTTTTAATAACTATAAAGTTGAAAACTAAGGATGTCCTAAGCGTTGGTGCCAAACTTCTGTTGAGCCGAATTTGAAGCGATAAGAAAAATAAGATTCTGGGAAATTGGAGACAACATAAAGATCACCCTTACACCTCCCAGTTAACACTGGTTCACCAGTTTGCCTTTCCTTAACAACAAAATTAACATCAGAAAATTCACAGTTGACAGGAAATTGTTGGGTTAATTGTCCAATAGAGGGCAAATTCTTAGTTAAGTTAGGAACTAACAAAATATCTTGGAAAGGTAAAGTAATTCATTTTTTATTAATACTAGAGTCACCTATCCCGACAATTGGTAGGGAAGAACCATCTCCTATAAGAACAGAATCTGACCCAATGTACTGACGAAAATTAGTTAACATACCTGGCTCACCTGTCATATGGTTAGATGCTCCAGTGTCTAATGTCCATTATGTATCGGTGATCGTGTTGTCCAAGGTAAGTGCTGCAAGAGCTTGTGGAATATTTTCCTTACAAGTGGGCTTTTTGGGCACCCACCAGCAAATTTTTGCAATATGACCGATGGTTCCATAGTATTGACATTGTTTGTTACGATATTGATCTCTCTCGGCAAGGGTCATTCGTCGTTCACTTGGTGGTGGAGGGTGGTGTTGTGGTGGAGTAGAGTTTTGGTTTTCAGAATAGTTTTGACTAGAGTCCCTGGATTGTTGTGCTTGGAATCCATGACCACTGGATGTAAATTTAGGTATGTTGCCCCGATATTTAGATGATGAGGGCTGTGGCGAATGTTGTTGATGTTGCCCATAAAATGGCAACTGATGAGTGAGTTGTGAAGTTGGTGATTTCGTGTGGTTAGAAAACCAATTGCGCTGTTGATTAAAGTTTTGAAACTGTGATACTAGCTCTAAGTATGATGGTCTTGGGGGTTTTAGCATGGTGGTGATGAAAGTTTCATACTGAGGTCCAAGACTAGTGAAGAGACCAAAAAAATTTTCTTTGTCAGGGACCGCTTTTCCAATGGTAGCAAGATTATTGCACAAGCCTTTGAATATGCAAATGTGATTTGCAATGTATTTGTTGTCTTCCTTGCCAATATATGTTAAATTCTCGTTATTGTGAATCTTGAGCATATGCTCCTTTAAGTGCTTCCCATACCGTATAAGTTGTTTCTAGCCCAACAGCGAGACCAGGACTTTCTTCAGAGAGTGTACCAATGATCCATCCTCGAAGTAAATGACCAGACTTTCTCCAGGATTTGAATTCTTTAGTTAGTTTGGGTGTAAATTTGTCTGTTGTAGCATTGTTTGGGTCAATGTTTGGTGTGGTGTATTTGGTGGGAGCTGGGTCTTCATTAGTGAGATGACCAACCAAATCTTGGCTTTTTGCAAGGGATAAGGCTTGTTCACGCCACAGGGGATAATTGTTTGGGGTGAGTTTGAGTGTAATGAAGTTCCTAATGTTAAGAGATAGTGAAGTCATGGCTGAAGGGAAGAGATGAGTGGTGCCAAATGTTCACAGAGGCTCTGATACCAAGAAGAAAAACAGAGAAAATACAAAATGATTTGTAAGTGATGCCTAAGTTCTTATTTTATTGAAAGGGAACATGAACACAAGGCTGTACATGATTTCATATTTAAACACAACAAGGCGACATAAATTGCATAAAATCTGCAAGATGTCAAGCCCTTCACATCTTCAATTTAATTGGGTTTGGATTCCATATAATCGGTTTTCATTACTGGACTTTCCTTGCATGTTGATTTGCAATCGTCATTGCTGGACTTTCCTTGCTAGGTGAATGGATTTCCTTATTGCTGAGATGAATCATTGTTGGACATTCCTTCCAATGAGATTTTCCTTTGCTGAGATGACTCGTTGCCGGACTTTCCTTGCTACTGAGATGAGTGGTGCTACTAGCTTGTACTAAGGTTTTGGATTCGAAGAAAAGGTAGCAAAACTATGTAGATGATGATTTTGAAGAGTAGTCGTATGAGCAAAGGGAAAATCACAGTTACATTAAAATTTGTTTTTTTTTTTGCGAGTTTTAGTTGAACTTTTTCATACTTTGTTGCTGGCTTTGTGATGGGATTCTACATCGACAATACAAAGGCCAAGTTCGGTCAAGACTCTGGGCACTGCACCATTAGCTATCGCAAAGTTTGAAGATGTTGAGAAGAAGTTAGCAAGTCTTCTGAGAAGGGAGTCAATGATGTTCTGAAGAAAACAACTAAAGCATTTGTACTTGTACTAGAAAATTATTCAAGAAAATAAGGGGTGAACATAATCCTAGAAGGATCGTCGCTGAGTTATTATGTACCTAGGGTAATTGTTCTGTTTGTAAATAGCTTGTCGACTATAGAAATGGCGCATTGTGATGGTGGCGGCTGGCTATGACGATGGTGGGTGGGTGAGTTTTAGTTTGGTTTAGGGTAAGGTAGGGTGACGTGGAGGTGGAAGATGACCTTTTTTTTTTTGCCCTCCTTTTTGTTTTTTTGTGGAAAATATAAAGTTACTATTTTGCCCATTTCTAAATAGTCCAGTCGTCTAGACTTTGTCGCTTGAAATTGAAAGATTTGGGATTGTAGATTCAACAAACGAAATGTTGGGATAAAGCCTACAAAAAAAAATTTAAAAATAAATAAATTGAAATCATAAATACAATTATCTCTTGATACAATCTTCCATCGAGACTAAAAACTAGTAACACGCCTCCCGGGGCACAGCCCAACTGGTGGATCAATCAACATTGTCTTGCTTCCAACGGTAGGGTGGAGAGTTCGATTCTTGGTGGGAACCTAGGGCCAAAAATTTGGTATGGAGCAATCACTGTGGAGGAGGGTCTCTTGTGCGTAGAA